GAGGCGTGTCTAGGTATGACAGCGAATGTGACAAGTCACGACGAAAGAATAATATATATATATATATATAAATGATGATGCGTGAACATGGACGGCAAGAAAAAAGAAAAGCGGTACGAAAAAGAAAAAAACTAAACCTTGGTGCACAATGATCTTTCATTTAGTTGTAAAACGTCGCTTCAAATTGATCTCTCTCTTGTACGTACAAGCGTGTGTAGGCATGGTGTTTTTTGTAGTGCCTTCTCGGGCAGAAAATTGTGCCTTACTGTTAATATGGGTCCCCGTGACGAAAAACTGAAAGGGAAATTCGAGTCTTTGTTTGGTTGAACCACCCTCTAAAAACGGACGAGCATTAACGAAACGGCGTCAACATCGAATTAATCGTCTCAAGACGAATACGAGCCAATAATAGCGTTAGCTTTTTATTTTCGCGTACAGATGTAACATTTAAATAAAAAAGAAAAGAAATCAACGATAAGTTTGTCTAATATAACAATTCGACTATCACGAAGCACGCGAAAAAATATTTGTACTAAGAAACAATTTGTAAACCGGAAACATTGAAATTTCCCGTCTGTATTCTGCAATAGGTTCACTCCTTAGTTTTAACTAATGAATTTAATATTATCGTTCTATTATTATTCATATATAGGCGCGCCTATCGCACTGTTTTTCTTTTTTTTTTGTACGCCACTTGTTTCCGTATTATACTTCCACGAAAATTTCGCGCTCGACCTTTATCTCTCTCTTTTTTCCTCACTTTTCTTCTACACGAAACTTCGTCATTTCGATGGAATTGTCGTCCGAACAATGGCTTTTATTTATTTGAACACTTTTATCGCGATCTAGATGACGACTGTCGATCACGTCTTAAATATGCGATAGCCGCGCCCGTAATTTTAATCGTTACGTTATTTCCTTTCTTTTTTTATTTAAGGAAGGCTAAATGCATATTCCCGTAGATCGTAAATGTCGTCCGGGTGTTGTTTACATTGTTTACGAATTATTTAAGACGTACTTTCGTGGATTCTTTTTTGGTATAAATTCGCAGCGGCTCCGTCCGTTGGTGAAGTGTATAGCAATGTATTATTGTTTAGAGAAATGATTATTAAAATGGAGTGAAACCAACAACGGCGTTTCTGTGGCTTATTCGGCGCCTATATACACGCCTCACGACGCCTTTCTCGGGCTGCTGTAACCGTATGTGTTAGGTCATCCCATAAGTAATGCGGTGTTTTCGGTGAAAAAATGTTATAGATTGTCCTAATACAGTGATTCCTCGATGAATGCGACACGAACGACAGGGAGTTCCCAACACTGGTGGGGTCCCCCTCTTGAACTAATCAAAACAATAAACAGAAGCTTAAGTAGCTCGGCTTCGTGCAAAAAAAATGTCTGCTGTCAAGAATGCTTCGAAGCAGATTCGAGTTCGTCGCACTTATCGAGACACTACTGTAGATTGTTTAGCAATACTTTCTACCGTTCGAAATTTTGGTATCCTACGAGAAATGGCTTTAGTGATCTTCTTGTACTTTCTTTTTTTCTTGAACCCCTAAGTATATATGTATAGTGATAGTTTTTATAGTTCATGTCTATAAAAATTGTTTAAACTACTATAATAGATTGAAAAATTGTAATTAAATGTATTAGTGCATACTTTACCAGGTTCTGTTAAAATACTTTCAAGGATATTTAAAATCTGTGTTACTTGACCAATATCCGTCGTCATTTTCTTATAGCGAAAAGAGTGACACCGTTTTTATCAAACACAAAAACCGGGAAAAAATATGTTCAACCCTTGTTATCTTATTAAAAAATAATGAACTATTCATCGATACACCTAATAAAGTAGGTAAACTTGTGAGAAAATGAATTAATCCGTGCAAACAATATGGAACATTTGAAATATCTTAATTACTTTTTTCCAATGATTTTTAAACTGTATAATTGTATGTTTAATGAATCAAGATCTCAAGTTTTTAAACGGTAGCGTATTTTCTTTTACTCTCTACAATTCTTCATCTGTATGGTAGGTTTTACTGACCACTTTTTGGTAAAACCACGTATGCACAAGTTCTTCAATTGCAATCTCAACTTTCCCCCCACTTAATCTAATTTCCCCCTATCCGTGTAATTCTGTGAACTTCGGGAAAAGTGAAAATCCAAAATAACGATATTAGAGAATCGTACTCTCGTAGTTCCTACGACTCTTTTTCGGCGAGTTTTCGCGTTACACGAATCTCTTCGCTGTCTAATCAAAGCTGGCTGTTATTACTTTAATGTCGATTTTAAGCGGTCTAACTTTTCATAACGATACTGTTCAACGATCGTCGGATCGGTAGATATTTATAATAAATAATCACGTACGTCTTACCAGACTCTGTTCTCAAACGAAATCGCACTTTTTATGGGATGACTTAATAACATTTACTCTGTCACTCTTTCTTAATATTGTCCCGCCGTTGCGAAATGATTCTTCGCGAGGTGTATCTTTCGAAAAAAAAAAAAAACACGAACCTTACTACACATATCCGGATATCCATATAGTGCAACAAATAAGAAACGGCTCGCGTCGACGTTGATTTTTCAGTTCGATACGATGCAGAAAAAAGAAACAAGAAGAGCGATTCGTTTAGAAAGCTTATTTGTAATTCTTAGCAATAATTCTTAGCAGTTTCTCTTAAGGTATTATCTGTGCTCCGTATCTATCCCGCGAAACATTCTCTTTACTTCGACGTTAAGTTCGGTGTAGTAGCTTTAATTAGACGCCATTAGCACTCCCCGGGGCATACTCATTTCTTTAGAGCCGAATGGAAACGAAAAAGAGGCAACTAGGTAAAAACGACGAAGAAAGGAACAATAGAATTTTGCGTTTCTCCTTCCCCGTAGATTACAGTGATCGAGGTAAAGTCGTATTCACAGATCTCACGTTATTTTACTTTTATATACATGTAACATAGGTTTATCGATTAATTATTATATGTTATTATTGATCGTATCCGCACAACTCTTTATCTATGTATAATGGTTTTTGCTAATCGATTGTTTAACCAACCGAAAGAAAAGGATAGTTTTAATAATCATTTTTTATTTTTTTGCAAATTGTTGTTGTGTCTCTCCTTGTGTTTCTCACTTGTACCATACGTTCTTTTTCAGTTACGGTAGGAATCGTGACACAGCCTCGCAACGATTTAATAAGAATCACGAAAGTTTACCGATTGAACACCCAAGAACGTTTATTGTACTCAGTCGTTGCATAGAAGTTCAAGATATCTTAAGAGTTCCACTTAAGTACTAATTACGATTTATTCCGCTATGTTTGACGAACAATAGGCGTTGATTATATCATATGGGTGTATATTAATTTTCTCCTTTTCTTCGTGGCGTGACATCTCACCGAAAGATTCTAAACTTAATAATAATACAAATGAGTCATAATCTACTGCGAATCGTAACATTCACGACGCTTCGGAATTGTCAGAATTCTTACAATGTTACCGAATTCGCCGATTTCGAATGTAACCAGAATTATTATCAATTTAAATATTCTATCTTTCTTCGTGAGTTGACATTTTCTGAAGTTTAATCACAAACGAAATTCTAATTCAAAGGAGTCGTTATGTCTGATCAATGTGTATAACGTACAAAGCGTTCCAAAATTGTTAACGTTTTCATTAACGAGACAATCAGATCGGCGGTTGTTTAAGCGCGGGATTTTGTACTATATAACTCGAATCGTACGAACGAAAAGAGATGTAACGTAAGTATACGATCATGTGGGACAACTCCAAAAGCAATCGAGTGACGAGCGATGCCATTCGTGGCCGAAAAAAACGAGCGTTATTTTCGTAATTTTACGATCGGTATGGAACGGATCACGTTTTCACTCCCCGTTCCACGACGATTCGCCCAGGCTCCGTTCGTGAAAAAACTTTCTCGGGTATACCATGAGTTCTCGATTAAGGCTCACAGTGTTTACGACATATCGTCGTGTGGCCGCGCGATCCCGCTGTTCGATACATATAGTCGCGTGAACATTCCGCCATTTTGTTGAAGCAAGAATAGTTATGTGTTTAGAATTATTCTAGCGTGTCTGGAACGTTTTAAAGAAATCGGGTAAACAACTTCGGACCACTGGTAACATTTCGATACCAACGTTTGCAAATAATTATAGAAAATGGAATTAAATTCCGAATTGGGTGCGCAGCGCCGAGAAATAACTATTCTTTTTTCGAACATACGTTACCTTCGCTTTCGATTAGTTTCAAGCGACACACAAGCAATCGATCTTTCTTTTCTATTTTTTCTTTTTTTTTTTCGAGCGATTTATCTCCCACCTTCAGAGATCTTTCATCGAGACAAGGAAATAGCAATATTTTTGCTACTCGTTCATAATACTATATCATCGATGTTATCTAATGTGTTAATGACGATGCCAACGTATGCATTCGCAATAATAGTTGATCAAAGCTACACAAATCTTATCGTTAATTGTCCGATTGGGAACGATCGAGGCTAGTTCTACGTAAAATATCCGACAACGATGATGCTGTTACGTTAACGGAGAATATATTTGATTTGATTCTTCCATTTTTCTGTACATCGTGTGATTGACGTGATTCGAGTTTTTCAATGTACAATGTGTATTTTGTAAGGCTCGATAACAATATGTTTTCCGTGTTAGAAGCAAAGACAACCTTGTACGAATTTCCGATGGCTGGCAAGATTGTTGTACCTAAAATATCAAATAATTATTTAATGTCCTTTGCATGAAATCGACGTCAACTACCGTAATTAAACGATTACAAAATCATGTAAAATTCTTCAACGTTAACGTGAAGGTCTTAATCTCTGTCAGAAATGAGCACAATTTTGTTCGAATATTACCTAGAGAAAGTAAAGAATGTCTAATTAATTCTAACAGTGAGTTACTTTTTTATTTTATAATTGCAATTCTTATGTGTAATTATCGAAACAGGCAGC